AGGTTGTTCTAATTACCTGCTGGTTTTCAACCTTCCATTCTGCTCCCACACTGTGCTCAGACATGCATACATCCACCCACCACTGAAGGGATTCATTTACCATTTCTGCTGACTTTTACAGATCTTTTATTCCATTCTACCACTTTTACGTTTAAATGGGTTTATCTGCATGCCCCTTTTGATTGACACTTGCAGCTAGAGGCTGTACAGAGTGTTTGTGAAGGGTGATGGAGTGATGCTCAATCAACGCCAGAGATACCTGAAAACTTCTCTGACCCATTTTGTAGATTCTATTGGTTGCCAAACACTTGTTATATATGAATAAATTAAGCTGAAAGCCTTTAGTTTCTGTAAGGAATGGTTTACTGTCTATTACCAAATTAAAGTAATTTGAGGATTTTGGATTTTCTGTTGAACTTTTGAATTTTAAAACTCATTTTTTGCTTGGAAAGTTTAACTTTGTTGGCTGTTTTTTTCCCCCCTCTCATTCATTCCACCTTTATTTATACAGGTTAGTCTCATTGAATCCCGGGGACTCATTTACAAGAGAGACCTGTTTTAAACAAAGAACACAGATGACAACAGTATAGTCATAAAAAGCATATAAATTGAAAAATGAAAGAAAATTACATTAATAAAACGAAACAAAAACGGCTACATTATAAAGTGATGTAAAAGACTAAAATCAGGAACATGTCCGCGTTGGTTTTTGCCACGAACTTAGCAGTTGTTTTAAGCCACTTAGAGAGGTCACGGTCGAGAGCTTCAGCTCTTTTTTGCGTTTTATCAGAGATGTTTCATTTAAGCATATCTGAGTTGAGACGAATCAAAAGCAGAAACCTCTCAAGTGAATAGCTTTGATCAGGGATGACGTCGCGAGAATTGTTGGGAATCCCCAAAGTCCTGGATGTCGGATAAACACAGCATACCACATGCATTCGCATTCTTCATCCTGCCGCCAAAAACCTGTGCAGTACATGACAAGTCAATGGCATGCATCCATCTCCTGTTATCTGTGCTCTTTCACTGGGGCAAAATAGTACGAATCAGCACGGGAACATCAGGGACACCACGTGTACGTTTTCTTTATCCATTCAGCTTAGTTGTCAAACACTTCTAGTCTGCTGTATTAGCAAGCGCTTGCACTGTGTATTATTGTATCCGTTAATGCAATCAGTCGATTTTAGTCCTGTAACATTGTTTTCATTGAAGTTGACATGGACAAAAGCACTGGAGGTGGATATTTTGCCAGCCACTTCTTTTATTTGACTTTGTTAGCAGGTGCTAGCTATTAGCTATCAGTTCTTTTACTCTATTTCCAAAAGTGAAAGTTTGTTAAAAATCGATAAGTTGTAAGTTCTTCTATTACCACAATCAATTTTTGTCTTGGAAACAACAAAAATTGAAGTTTTCTCTATTGTTTGACTAGTTTTAGATATAAACCACTTTTAGACTGTTTACACTACTCCAGCTAAAGAATGCTGTGATGGTATTTCTTGGACCTCTAGTGTTTTTTAAACATTATCCTGCCAATTAAATATAAGTTTTCTTGTTTGCATTTGTCCGGTCGAAGACAACTCTGCCACAGAGTCAAATCCAGCGATTACATTTCTCTCCCTGATTAATCAGCTTTGGAAATGACAAGAACCAAATACCCAGGGCTTGTTAGCATATCAGCCATCACTGTTGCAAGTCCCGTAGCAACAAAGATTTTTAGATCCCATTTTCTGCTGGTTATCTTTTTTTTTTCCATCAGCGCAAACTACGACTAGCGCTAATACTTACAGTTGTGTTTGCCCAAAGTCTGGGTTCTTGCTGACATCACATCATGCATAGGGAGTTATTTTAGTAACCTTGACCAGCACAATTCCTCATGTAAGACTTTAATTCTCACAGTAAGAGACTGATGCAATATGTAGTTTTTCAGAATCTCTGTGGTCAGGTTAGTGGCATGCCATTAAACCTTCAAATGCGTAAGATTTTACTGAACTGAATTGAGATGCTGACCAATCTTTTTTCTTGTATTTTTTCAATAGAGCTTCAGTAAAGTGTTTTTCCATGTTCAATCTGTTGACTCCTGTATCTTAGAGGAAGTGGGTGTGCATCGATATTGATATAAATACTATTACTGACGTCACAGGAGAGTGGACTAATGCTTTTTGCCTGTAGTCGTCGCTGGGCGCAGTTACTCTGGTAGGCTTGAGAGAAAGTCTGGCAAGAAGTTGAAGTGATTTAAATATCCTTTCTGCAAGTCTTTTTAGTTGAGTAGAGTTAAATTGGTAAATTTTGTGTCCGAACAGCCAGTACTTTGACCTTCCAGATATTATGGAGCTGGGCTAGTGACAGAGTCAGAGATTTTGTTTCTGCATTCAGTATATCTGCAGATATTATTCAAGTGTTCTTGTTGATCGCATGAGTGTGTTCCAGTCTTTTTTGCTACAAAGGGTCACCACATGTACAGGTAGTCATCGTCATGTTTGCTAGAGCTGAACGAAGGTCACTAAATGAAGTATAAATACTGCAGGAGGATTTATATTTTCTGGAACAGCTGCAGAATAATGAATGAACTGATAATAAAATGTGCAAAACTATAATTGCTTAATAAATTAATAAAAAGTGTGTAGACATGGTCGTTTGAATATAATAAATATTTCAGAGTGACGTATAGTAGTTACTATGGTACTATTTACTTTAAGACTACTTTAAAACGTTTTATGGTAACTGTTGGGATAATTTGTTTAAAATGTTTTGTAAACGAACTACAATGAAAACAAGGACATTTAATTGTTTAATATTATATTTAAAGAAATGGAATAAAGTTGAAAAATACAATAATGCTGTTAATTTATCTTAAAGGGTTTTTATTTAAACTTTCAAGTTATTTCAGAAAAAAACACAAATTTCTGTATATTTTATTTCATGTTTTAGGAAAAGTTGAGTTTTGATGGTTGTTTACCCAACAAATATATTAAATAACACGTAATATTTATATCTGCTGTTGGTATTTACTACAGTTTACGAACAACCAAATCAAAAAAAGTATTTTTATTCTATGCTTTAGTTGAAATTTTGTATTTTTGGTACTGTGTAACATTGACTCGCATTAAACGATCCTGCTGTTATCCTCTCTCCTCCCAGTTATCTGGCTGCCCAGACTGAACTCTGCATCAATCAGACCTTGTTTCAGCAGCAGCATCCCTCCCTCAGCTCCCATCCCATTTACCCCCAGAGAGATTCAGATTTCATTGGCATTCATCGTCAGTGCCACCTACATGCCACAGACTGTTTATCTCCTTGCTCTCTTCATCATTTCCATTAAAGATCATAGTAACTGTCTCACCAGTGACTTTGTGGCTCCAGTTCCCAGGCGTATGGGACAGTGTTCACAGAATACAAAGCAACGTAACGCACGCCTGTCACAGCTGCACTTTGTGTCCTATCTGTCGTATTTGCCCTCAGGGATCTGTGATGAAATGGCACAAGATGATAAATTTCCGGAAGCTGGTTGCACACTTCATCACCTGTGATGCCTACAGCTCTGGGTTGCAACACTTCAAATGTTTCAGGAATGTGACTTTTAGCACATATAAGAGCTCCATGATTAAAACGACTGCAGAAAAGACGAGAGCAGTTCGCTTGGGATTTTTTTTTTTTTTTTTTTGTCATTGAATGTTTTTTCGCACAGAGTTGCTTTATCTCACAGAATCACACTGAACTGATCCTTGTATTGGTCCCCAGCTTACCGGTAGTTCATCTCACCCCCCTTCTGTTTCCTCAGTCTTCTCGCTGTCATTACAGTGTTTTGGCTGCTGTCCCGTTGCCATGCAGAGACCACAACAATGGCCCCACTCTGCCTGGGAATGCCCATTTAATAGTAGCAAACTTTGACAATGAAAACTCATCATCTCGCCTCCCACCTGGAATCTTTTCTAGACTCCGTCTCATCATCAGTTTGTCTGGTTCAGTCACTGAGCAGCTGCAGCGGCCTCTGCTTCCCAGACTGATGATGCAGATGGTCCATATGTGCCAGAATCTTTGCCTTACCTTATGGATCGATACTAAGCACCTGTTACATTAGTGAACCATGACCTTTTGTGCTCAAAGGCTATTCACACAGAACTTTCCCCAAGTTTGTGCTACTAAAAATCAGTTTTACACTCGAAGACGCAGACACAACCTTCACATAAAAAAAAACCACTGTCCTTACGTAGAGTGACAACCAAGAGAAAAACCATCCATTTTCTTTGAAGCTGTGCGGAAGTAGTCTTTTCTATACAAACAGTTGAACAGAGCAGCGTTTGCAGAGTAAATCTTTGGTGCACTCACTGTCCTTGTGTGACAGCCCCCTACTGTCTGAGTCGTTTAAGCTGAGGCCTGAATAATTTAGAGCACGTTGCCACAGTGTTTACCCTCAGACTGTGCAGAAGTAAATGTGCCACAACATGGTTCCACAGGGGTGTGTGGGAATCCAAAACTGGGTGGACAAAGCACAGCGTCCCTTCCGTGATGGTCTTCATTTGGAAGTGAGAGCTAAGACAAAGTAATGTTTGAGTAAGTTGAGCAAACTGCCAAATGTGCCCCACAATGAAGCTGCGGCTCCAAACAAGAGGCCACGCTTATCTTTTATCTTAAAAATGTTTCAACTTTTAGAGATTGCACGTGACCGATGAGCAAAAACTACTGCTGTTGCCTCCTGAAATAAGTTTTGGGTTGGGGATCACTCTGGTTCTGATTATTCTGTTGTTTTTATTTGACTGAAGAGTTGAAAATAAGTATATAAATTGAGTTTTTGAAAGTAAAGGAGTTCTTAGTCGTCAACTCCACCCAAACTTTATGTGGCTGACGTCACTCTCAGGGTTCTGCCTCGTGGATTCGGCAGCAAATGGAATGAAGAGAAACAAGTCGAGGTGTTTCTTGTGTTGTCTTTGTCCTCCGCGTTCACGCACCTACTTTTTGTATTGTACTTATTTTTTTAATTCGGTGTCTTTTTCTTGGACCAGCTCCCTGCTTGGCTCTGAAAACAAACCCTGCAAGGCCCGAGCCAGAGGGGGAAAGCATCCCTTTGAAGGCGGACAACACCCAGAGGATGGAGTCTCCGGCTAGAAAAGAAATGGACCGAAGCCTGAATACCCCCACCAAACCCAACATCACCTCTCGAACACCCGGCTCACCAGCATCACCCAAGTCAAAAAGAGGTAAATAAAACAAGAGCTCTTCAAAGTGTTTCTGACTCGAAACAGAGCTCTGATAATGTTGCAGGCATTTCTGGTCAGCTCTCAGAGGAACAGTGACCACATGCTCAGACGAGAGGCGCAATCCAATAAAGTGCCTTCGGCTGATGGTATGATGTGGTGGAACAAACTTGAAACACATTCTGTTGTGTGATAACTTTTTGTAGCTAAACGTTTTCAGGTTAAATCATGTTACCAAACAAAGGAAACTTCTCTATGATTTGAACAAATGCTGATCTATGTTCTGCTCCCTAATGAGAGGTGGGCTAAAAGAACCGGAACAGGAATCCTGTTTTAGCGATTAATGCCAAGAGGGCGTTTGGTTCGTCCTGGCAGCTGCAACGTTTTGTTTTCATAAAGACACAACTTGAACACATTGTAATCTCTGGCTAATGCAATTACAAACCCTTTGGAACAGGTTTTAGGGTTTTTGAAGTGTAAGCTCCTTTTCATTCTTATTGACGATTAATCCATTCATCAGTTTTGCAGAGGTTCTTTTTATTTTATTTCCAACCTGAACAAGTTTGTCTACACTTCTTTTTCAGCATCTTTCTCGTTCCGCAATTTTTGTGCTATTTCAACAAATCGTATATCAAAAAGTTCAGCTCATTCAGGACAATCCTGTTATGATTTTTGGTATTTGTGCTACTTTATTTTTTTATATTTAGCCTTTTCTGCCTTTTTTTTTTTGTCATAGAAAATGAATTGAGCTCATTTTACATCCATTGAGATTTGTTTACAACCTTTTACTGCTCCTTTCACATTTTGTTCTGGTTCAGCTTCTTTCAGCTTTCTTGTGCAATGTAAACTTTTTTCCAGCTACTTTCAGCTAATTTTAGCTGTTTATTCAGCTGTTCTGTGCTCCCTTTACATTCTTTCTGCTAACTACAACATTTTTGTGCTTCTTCTAACTTCTTTCTGCTAATTTCAGCTTGTTATGCTCCTTTCAGCTCATTTATGCAAGTTTCAGCTTTTTCTGCTGTTTCACCTACTGCTTAGCTTTATGTATGCTAATTTTAGCTTCTTTTTTTTTGGCTAACTATCTAAAGTTTTAGCATTCATTTTAACTTTTTTCAGCCTAATTCAGCAAAAAGTGCTCTCTCTACTTCCTTCTGGTAATTTAAGATTCCTTCTGCTTTTTTAGCTACTCTTCAGCTGTTTTTTGCTCATTTCAGTGGCTTTCAGCCTAATTGGACAAACATGTTTTTTTCTGCTTTCTTCTGCTAATTTGAGCTTGTTCTACGTTTTCAGCTACCTTTAGAATTTTTTTAAGTTAATTTCAGCTGTTTTCAGATAAATTCAAGTTTTTTGTGGTAATTTCTGCTATTTTCAGCCTAAATGACCTATTTGTACTCATTTCAGCTTATTATGCGCCTTTCAGCTTATTTCTGCTAGTTTTAGTTATTTCAGCTACTATTTAGCTGTTTTATGCTATTTTTATCATTTCAGCTAATTCCACATTTTAAACTAATTTCAGCTCTTTCCACTTCCTTCTGGTAGTTTCAAGCCACTTTCTGCCTTTTCAGCTACTTTTCAGCTGTTTTTGCTAATTTCAGCTGGGTGTTTTAGCTGATTTCAGAAAGTATGTACTAATTTCTCTTATTTGAAACTACTTCAGCAAATATGTTCTTTCTGCTTTCTTCTGCTAATTTAGGCGTGTTCTTCCTTTTTAGCTAATTTCAGCTGTTTTTCAGCAAGTTCTTCAGCAATAAGCATTCACACTGCGTTTTCACAGGAAATGTAATTTCTCTAGTTTGTATTGGGTTTTGCACCATGCACAGTTCTTTAGAGATAAAAGTGCTCAGTCCCTGGTTGTTTCAGCTAGGCTCTGCTGCTTTTGGTCTACTTGCAGATATTTTGTAGCAGCTTGAATATTTTCCCATAAAGACATGATTAAGAATGCTGAGCCTCTTTAATACAAATGCTGACAAAAAATAATGAGGTCCTGCATCTTGTTGGAAGGCTCAGATGTTTTTTATTATTATTTTTGGACCTTTTATTGTATATGCAGACACATCACTGAGCTGACACTTTGCGGAGGACACATGTGCACAATCTGGAGCACAGTTGCTGCGCCCAGTTTGTTTTTGTCCCTGAAGCTTTGTGCATGTGACGTACGGTTTAACAGGGTGGTGAGCTGTAAACAGCAGCACATCACACTAAAACTGCACTTCGCCTTTCCATCCTCCTATAAATATCAAAGTGGGTCAGGGGGTTCTATAATTGGAGGCTGCATGGCAGATTGTTTTTATATTTAAGATTCATGCCTCGCTCTGTGTTAGATGGATTCCAGTGAGTTTGATGTTGGAACATCTGGTCTGAGAGGAGAACGATGGAGCACAAAGGCTCAAGAGAGGTCGAGACTGCAGAATGTGTCACTTATTTTCCAAGTGGGACCAAGTTATTTGTGACTTGCTACACATTAGAGTAATTGCATATTGTGGATACAGTTTTTATATGGTAGGTGTTGAGTTACAAACTAGGCAGCTGGAATACAGAACGTATTTCTGAAAGAAATGAGATTGCAGATAAAAAGTCAGTCTGCTAGCCACCATGACTGCAGTAAATTACTAATGATGCATGTCTTTATTTGAAATATATTTAGATAAACTTTGTTAAACTAATTGTGTTGTTGTTTGGCACTGAAGGTCTTTATTTCTTTTTGTCAAATAAGTGATGCATTATGCAAGAACTTTGTGAATTCACTGGATTTCCATTTGTCTTTTTGTTTTTTCTTCCAAAATTGAACTGAAATGATCGACAAACTTTGAGGTATTCTTGCTGCTTACCTAATATTAAACATGTTAATGTTTTTCTCTAGTTGCATTACACTTTCACATGAATTTTAACTGGACAAACAAATGCAAAACGACGTGTCTGTGACCCATTAAGAGTGGCAGGAATGTTCCTCAAAAGATGCTTGGATGTGGTTTGAATTCTTGAAATGACATGGCACATGAGTGTCTTGTGCCGTTTTTCCTCTTTGAGTGCTTTTTCTGAGATATTTGATGGAACGTTACGTGTGAGTGTACATCGGAGACCTCACGGTGTGCGTTTGCCTTCAGGCATCCCATATTCAAGTCAAACATGTAGTCACATCAAGGTGGCACAGGAGCTTTGGTGGGCAGCTTTTACTGATGTAAAGGGATATGGGGTTGGATATATATATTGTAAATTATCAGTTATGAGTTAAGCTCATAAGATATGCATTTATTATGCAAAAACCTCGTTTGTATGGGCACCACATCTTTTCAGAGGAAAAATCAGTCTCGAACCCCAAATTAAATGTAAACTGAAACGTGAATTCTTTACTCGTGTTTTAAGGGCATTCAAATTTTGTTAATACACACAGATATGCCAAAATAATCACAAATTTAGTTGATTTTATGTATTTTATTACAAAAATAATAATCTGTAATATATCTGATGAAGATTATGCATAACAAGCAATAACAAATAGCTTGGTATCAAAGGTCTACTTGATTATTCAAATCTGTGAAACTTTTAAAAAGGCAGAATTTTGGACTGGTTCTGTTTGTGGAGTAGTTAAAATTGTCTGAATGAGCTGTAGTTTGTAAAGCAAGATTATTGGGATGTATGATCACCAGAAAATGGGTTGAAGGGTCTTTCTCACCAGAATGAGCTGTCAGAATGTCCACAACTGCTTATAATGATACCAGCAAAGCTTGAGATGCTCCGGTGATTGAGAGGAGGATTTTTCCTCAAAGGTCACCTATCATCGGTTGGAGGGACGAAGGTCCGGCCACTGGCTCTGAAGTCAGCTGGGATTTACCACTCTGCGGCGTGATGGTCTTGTTCGTCAGGTTCTCTCGTCCTGAGCCGTTTGCAGAAAATATGTTTTCTCTTCTTCCTTCCTAGGATATTTCTCTAGGAGGAAGTTTGCTTGAAGCAGTTGGAGTGCAGAAGTGTAGAAGACGTGGTGAAGAAGCACAAGTTTTACTTAACTGTCTGTGTGTTACAGACTGACTTTAGTCCACACCTCAGAAGAGGGGGTGGTCCTAACTCTTTGTCATGTTTTTATCAAATCACAGTCCATTTTCTCGGTCTGCCTTTAAAAGTCACACTTCTTTTAAAATGAGAAAAATAAAACACAATTATCTTAAAGAGATTACTTAAAACACACATTTTCATAAATAAACATTCAGATATGACATATTTTGAAATAACATGCAATGTTCATCAAAAGGCGTTGCTGTTCATCTCCTGGAAAGAAAATGTCATGAAACAAAGGTTTCTTTTAAAATGTTATCTCCATGGGAAAACCATCCTGGGAGTAATACTCCTTTTGACAAAAGTTAAAGTCTCGGCAGATGTTTCCAACTCCGAGTTCAGTTGAACCACAAGCTCTCATTAAAACGATCTGTCCGTTTCGTGGGAAATGAGTTCATATTGAAAGTGGTTAACACAGTGACAGGTTTTTTTTTTTTTTTTTTTTATACATTCACATTAGTGTCAACTAAGGAGTTTGTGAGCTGAGTTGAACACCTGTAAAATAAAGTCTGTTTGTTCCCAAGGGAATAGATGCATCTTCTTTTAAACGGTTCAAAACACGAAACGCATGAATGATGTCTGTCAAAGTTGAGGTGAACTGTTTCTGAGGTGGTGTTCCCCTACACTGAGAAGGGTAGGGGATGTCGCTCGCATGTCGATTTTGTTTCCTTTTAATCTAAACTGAGCGTTAAATGTTGGAATATTGCAGTTTACTTTTGTTGCAATTAATAGGTTAAAGCGTTTTTTTGGAGGTAGCATTGAATCATTTTATGTTTTATCAGACTACATGTTGCCTCACGCTAGTCCTCCGTTAAGGAAGTTTAAAAATGTACCATCTATTTATAGATGAATGTTAGGGAGATGGGATTTGCTCTTCGTCTCTGTTTACTCAATGTATTATCTCTAAAACATAAGAAGCTAACAGTTCATGCTACTGTGTCCTTGATTTACAGGTTTCAGTTGAATATTAGAACAGGAAATGGGACAGTTGTTGATGACTGGTTTGAACTGTTTTCTGCACCAAAGTCTCGGATGAATTTTTTAGTAAATTCTGCGTCTGAAACGTCTTTTCAGCTGAATGGATCTGATCCAAGTTCTCGTTCTCTCTCCATTGTTTCTCCTTTGTGTCGTTCTTATCTCAGACGTCCCAAAGTCAGAGGAGCGGCAGAAGCTTGCAAAGGAACGGAGGGAGGAGAAAGCCAAATATCTGGGTGAGTGGAAACAAGGAGTGGGCAGACGTGCACGTTACACAGGAGAAGAGTTCCCCCTGGTGTTGGTGTGGGAAAGGTTTATACTAACAGCTTTGGCCTGCATATAAAGCACGTTCCTTAAGGAAAATGTTTTCTTTTTGCAGGAAATAATTCAGTAAGATCAGCAAAAGTTGAGCGAGAGTTTTCTGCATGTTCAAGTGCTTCATTCAGAACTTAAAGATACACTGTTTACTTGTAAAACCACAGCTTTACCTTCACTTTTAGGTGTTTTAATTTTTGTTTTAAGCACACGGCTGTCACAGTATCACCCGGCTCAGTGCTGGTTCTGCACTGCTTTGCATGATTGACAGTTGCCTCTGTCTTCTCTCATCCTTTCCTTCTGCAGAAGAGCTCAGCAAGTTGCAAGGTAGGCCACTCACCGATGTTCATGTGGTGGTGGTGATTCTTGTTTCTGATCATTCGGTTTCTTTTGGATGCCTCAAATGAATGAGGTACGGTGTATTAACTGGAGCTGGGCAACACACCAGGACTTAACATTATGACTCAGGATGGGGGCGGGAGAGGACATCTTTCCTTCAAACGGTCTTTTTATTAACATGTCAGCAGTAAATTTAGCAGCTCGTAAAATACAGGATTAGTACTATATTTTATCACTTTTTTTAAATCAAAGAAAATACTGCAAATATACCACCAAAAGGTTTTGGTGATTTTGCCCAGACTTAGAACTATTTCACTCATTTTTAATCCCACAGTGTTCCTTTTCCTTTTTATTCCTTTAAATGTGTCTATCTTCAGTCTTTCTTTTTTGTGGTCAAATTCAATTAATTCCATCCCGTTCTTCTCTGATCATCATCATCATTGTGTTTTTAGCAAATATGCAGCTACAAATTGATCATTTAACCCATCTGACTAAATGTATGAATGTTCGTGCTGTAGGATTGAGGTCTGTATACAACTGCTGTTTTTATTCTGACCTAAGTCTCAACTTTTATTGTCCTGCTCCACTTTTGAAACCACAAAAAGATGACGTGTTTGGAAGCATGCACTTCCAACCCGCTGATTACCATCTTACTGGAGAAATTGACAGTTTTGTAGATGCTCGCAGCCGTATTTAGCTCGGCTGTAAAATTATATCAAGACACGTTAAAAGATAAAGTGCTCAAGTCAAAAAGTAAAATTTGATTTTCAGCCATGTTTCCTCTCGCAGTGTAGATTTGTTTCTAACTAGTTGTCATTTCACTTGCAGTGATGCTGCATTTGTTGTCGTCTAATCCAGCTGGGCGTCTGTTTGACACAGCTGCTGCCACAGATCAGACTAATTGGGCGATCACTGGGGGACGCCAGATGGCAGGGGTTTTATCTAATACATGGTCAGACTGGGATGAAAGAAACCCTCCAGCCAAAGCCTGTATTTACAACATCAGCTTAAAGAGATCCTGCTTGTACCAAACAAGCCGTTGTAATTCTAGTGGCAGAATCTTTCTACATATACAGTAGTCCCTCGCTACTTCACGGTTCGTTTTTCGCGGACTCGCTCTATTGCAGCTTTTCAAACTAAGATTGGACATGACACACAATTGGCTGATTGATGGATGAACCGCACAATTGGCATGGAATTATTTAAAATAAATTTAAAATAATTTAAAACTTTTTTTTTTCATTAAACCTTTATTTAGACTGGTAAATCCCATTGTACCTGGAGGACTCATTTACAAGAGACCTGATTTCAACAAAGAATGACGACAACAATGGACATCAGCAACAACAATAAACAGTTATACAATGGCATACAGATTTATTTATTTATTTATTTTTAATGAATAGGATGGCTAAAAAAAAAAAGCAACAAAAACAGCTATATTCTAAGGCGAATGTAGAAAACTAAAAACAGGAACATGTCTGCAATGGTCCCTGCCAGGAGTCCAACAGTTTTTTAAAGACACTTAAAGAGATCACGGTCGAGAGCTTCAAATCATTTTGTAAGATATTCCAGGAAACGGGAGCAGAGTAGGAGAAGGCCCTTTTGCCAAGTTAGAAGTGGGCGTGGCCGAGAGCACTGGCAGGTGATAGAGCGCTGAAATCATGACATTCTGTGCTCGTTTAGTGCGTTTAGAGTTTAGAAACATTGTTTAGAATTTTGCAAGTGTGGGAAGGGTTTAAAACACCTTTATATATGTGTATATATATATATATATGTGTGTATATATATATATATATATATATATTTTACAGGTCCTTCTCAAAAAATTAGCATATTGTGATAAAGGTCATTATTTTCCATAATGTAATGATAAAAATGAAACTTTCATATATTTCAGATTCATTGCACACCAACTGAAATATTTCAGGTCTTTAATTGTTTTAATACTGATAATTATGGCATACAGCTCATGAAAACATAAAATGCCTGTCCCAAAAAATTAGCATATTTCATCCCACCAATGAAAGACAAGTGTTTTTAATAGAAAAAACGCCAACCTTCAAATAATCATGTTCAGTTATGCACTCAATACTTGGTCGGGAATCCTTTTGCATGAATGACTGCTTCAATGCGGCGTGGCTTGGAGGCAATCAGCCTGTGGCACTGCTGAGGTGTTATGGAGGCCCAGGATGCTTCGATAGCGGCCTTAAGCTCATCCAGAGTGTTGGGTCTTGTGTCTCTCAACTTTCTCTTCACAATATCCCACAGGTTCTTTATGGGGTTCAGGTCAGGAGAGTTGGCAGGCCAATTGAGCACAGTAATACCATGGTCAGTAAACCATTTACCAGTGGTTTTGGCACTGTGAGCAGGTGCCAGGTCGTGCTTAAAAATTAAATCTTCATCTCCATAAAGCTTTTCAGCAGATGGAAGCATGAAGTGCTCCAAAATCTCCTGATAGCTAGCTGCATTGACCCTGCGCTTGATAAAACACAGTAGACCAACACCAGCAGCTGACGTGACACCCCAGTGACTGTGGAAACTTGACACTGGACCTCAAGCAATGTGAATTATGTGTCTCCTCTCTTCCTCCAGACTCTGGGACCTTGATTTCCAAAGGAAATGTAAAATTTACTGTAATCAGAGAACATAACTTTGGACCACTCAGCAGCAGTCCCAGGCGAGATGCTTCTGACGCAGTCTCTTGTTCAAAAGTGGCTTGACCTGGGGGATGTGGCACCTGTAGCCCATTTCCTGCACACGCCTGTGCACGGTGGTTCTGGATGTTTCTACTCCAGACTCAGTCCACTGCTTCCGCAGGTCCCCCAAGGTCTGGAATCGGCCCTTCTCCACAATCCTCCTCAGGGTCCGGTCACCTCTTCTCGTTGTGCAGCGTTTTCTGCCACACTTTTCCCTTCCCACAGACTTCCCACTGAGGTGCCTTGATACAGCACTCTGGGAACAGCCTATTCGTTCAGCAATTTCTTTCTGTGTCTTACCCTCTTGCTTGAGGGTGTCAATGATGGCCTTCTGGACAGCAGTCAGGTCGGCAGTCTTACCCATGATTGCAGTTTTGAGTAATGAACAAGGCTGGGAGATTTTAAAAGCCTCAGGAATCTTTTGCAGGTGTTTAGAGTTACGTCGTTGATTCAGATGGTTAGGTTAATAACTTGTTTAGAGAACCTTTTCATGATATGCTAATTTTTTTGGGACAGGCATTTTGGGTTTTCATGAGCTGTATGCCATAATCATCAGTATTAAAACAATTAAAGACCTGAAATATTTCAGTTGGTGTGCAATGAATCTGAAATATATGAAAGTTTCATTTTTATCATTACATTATGGAAAATAATTACCTTTATCACAATATGCTAATTTTTTTAGAAGGACCTGTATATATATACACATACACGCTAAAATAAACCACTACTTATTACTTGTACTACTATTCCTACTTTGCGGTTTTTCACTTATCGCGGGGCTTCAGGGTATGCATCCCCCACGATAAACGAGGGACTAGTACGTATTTTTCGGACTATAAAGCACACTTAAAATCCTTTAATTTTCTCAAAAATCAACAGTGTATTATGTATTAATTCTGGTTGTGCTTACTGACCTCAAACCACCTGCTCCCTCAACAGGTCTCTCTTAAAAATGAGTTCTCGTGGCTCAATGAGACTACCTGTATAAATAATGGGTAAATGAAATTTAAAAAAAAAGTGGTACACAGCATTCAAAAATGTGTTGATGTTTTCGTTTCGCTTAATGCGCTTTATAGTGCAGTGCGCCTTATGTATGAAAACACACCCGTTCATTGATATTGCCCTTTATAGTCTGAAAAATACGCTACTGTATCTCTAAATAAGTCGCATCTCAAACACGTATATGAAACTCCTACTTTATGTCAGTGAGAAGCTGTAAATATTTCATGCCCTGCAGTTAGAGCCACATCTAGTTATGACTTTTTAATGATTTCATTGCTGTAGGTTTGAATAAAATGTGTCAACACAAAGTAACGTTAATGTTGCATTTTAAATAAACCAGTCTGCATTTTTTTTTAACGATAAGAAATGAGGCTCGTCCAAGCAACCCCATTTTCAGCTCTGTATTTTAACTGAAAAGCTGTTTCAACTGCACTTCACCTCCAGCTTTATTATTTAAAACTTTGTATAACTGGATGGTAGAGCCGAGGTGGTTTTCCGCACTGCAGCAGTCATTTTCTTTGCAGCAAGCTTCTGGCAAGCGCAGCCTTGGTATAACTCAGCTTTTTGTTTCATTCTCAGATGAAAGCCAAACCATGGACCTCCTGATAAATTCAAACTGTGTCAGCCTCCAGCGTCCCTGCAGTTATCCATCACAGTGATAAAAACACAACCAATTGCTTTTGTTGCATCGGATGTTGTGAAGGATGAAGCTTTATGTCGTTGCAGTGGCTGAGTCTGCGGGGAAATTAAACTTTTTATTTTAAAAGATAAATTGAGAGCTGTGTACACAGGCAGCTGCAAAGGGCTACTTGGTACCACTTCTAAATGAACGGGGATGAAAATAATTTCCATATCAAAGTGTAGCATTATTAAAGCTTCAAGCAATAATGGTGCACTCAAAGCCTAATTTGCTGTTGTGGCATTTTGTGGAAAAGTTGATTTATTCTAAACATTTTTTCTATTTCAATGGGAAGTAAGGCAGGTTGAAATGTGACAGAAACAGCAGAGAGATTATTTCCCATTTTCTTTTGTTTTTAAATGCTGAATACATCCTCACTTTATTTTTGTGACTTTAAGTTAGCATTTGAAATACAAATCCAGGCTAGGCCTGCCATGATAACAAATTTTGCTGGGCGATTAATTGTCTCAAAAATTATTGCAATAAACGATAATATTGTTTGAAATTTGACAATAGTCATTTTTGTCAAATTTAAGAAGAAATGTTGGTTAATTTTTGAGTGTAGTAACTTTTTTGACCACTGAATGGCAGTATAAGACCGTTTGAACTAAAGGATGGATAGTGAGGGAGCGAGAAGCATGTCTCTTTAAGAAAAAGGGGAGGGAGGCCCCTTGACGTGACATGGGCTGTCTCTCGTTCCTGTTTTTCGGTTCTCAAAATGGTGGACACTCGGTGTGGTTTGAGCTCTTTAGCATAGCATTTTTCACACAAAGCTTTTAATTAAAAAAAAAAAATCAGTAAACAAGTTCTCAGCTTCTTTTTTCAGAGAAAAACAACTTTTCACACGAAGGCACGGGTTTCAACTGTGAATATTGGAGCTTCAACAAGACGGGAGATTTTTTCCCGAGGTCGGCCTGATAGCTTAGCTCGTAGCTTAGCTTCTCGGCTTAGCTGCTTTTGATTATCCAAAAATGAGATTTTGGATGGTTAAAACAAATTTTAAAGAAAACAGAAAAAAGAGAAAGGAAAGGGTCAGTGAAGAGCACCAGAGTTGAGCCTTTTATCATCCAGTGTCTTCAGAAGAAAGAGACACCAAGAAACGATAAAGCTGATAAATAGAAATGAGGTTGATAATTTTCATTTATCATGTGATTAATTGATTTATTGTTTATCGCGACAGGCCTAACCCAGGCCTCACACAATACAAATATTAAATTTTTCTGAAAGGGCAGGGGAGGAGGACTCCATTGAGCAATGCTGATTTGAAAAGTCGTTCTCTCCTTAATGTGCACTCCGTCTTATCTTAGCTGCTAAAAAGACCCAGTGGCTCGAGAAGGAGGAGAAGGCTCGGCAGCTGAGGGAGCAGCAGCTGGAAGAACGCCGCAGGAAGCTCGAGGAGCAGCGGATCAAAGCAGAAAAACGACGAGCGGCTTTGGAGGAGAGACAGAAGCAGAAACTGGAGAAGAATAAAGTATGTATGGATGAGAACATGTGCTATGTTCAAAGTCATACCTCATATTTAATATGAACGTGCTACAGGACAGTTTCAGGAGTAGGGGGAGCTGATCATTGACATTCTCAATCATCCCTGCTTATGGACCATTTAAGAAATATTTAAGGATATATATATATATACATTTTTTTGTGTTTGTGTACACTTCCCAGGAACGCTACGAGGCTGCCATACACAGACCAACAAAAAAGACGTGGGCAGAAATCCGCCAGCAGAGATCATCACTGGTTCTAAACCAGAACTCCAGCCAGAGAGAGAGTGAGTTACTCACATCCTCACCAACCTCACTGTAGAACTGTTCTACCCGAGGAGAACTCACTTATCTCTGTTTTTATTCATCTTTACCCACTTTTCATTTCTTGTGAGCCTCTCAAACTGAAAAAAAGGAACATATTTTGTGATCAGTTTCATTTTCTGCGTCACTCATTTCTCATTGATGCAAGAGTCAGAAACTTTTTTCTTCCCCCTTTTTCCTTATTTTTTCTCTTTTTTCTTTATATATATATATATATATATAAAAAAAATTATACAGGTTTGTTTTTTGTTTTAACATAAACTAGAAACAACTTTTAATTCTGAGAGACTGAAACACAAGTTATTTCAAATGCAGATAAGGAAATCTTTGATAATTTTACAGAAAACTCTTACACAAAAGGCTTAAGTGCAGGATATTGTGCTCGGGATGTGACACTTCAATATGACTCTGTTGGTGGGGTTTATTAGCCCCTCATGGCTAGACTGCACTGACAGCGTAAAATGTATTGAGGTGGTTTTATTGCTGTAGTTTGAGTTAGCAGGATATTATTGACTGGGAACAAAAGTGACCTTGTTTTAATGCGTATTTAAACGAGTAAAGATACCAACGTCTTAAGTGGGTCGATGTGAAAAGCTTGTATGTTATTGTCTTAGAAAACATGTTTTAGCTGACAGTGCAGACTGATGTTTGTTGTGTTGACAGTTCCTTCCCAGTTTAAGCTTTAAATATGAATTGTTCTGAGTTTCATTCAATAACTGTGTAGTTGTCTTTACTGTATGCTGAGGGGTATACTGATGCTTCTCTTTCAGCAGTCTGCTGCTTCCTACGTAAACAAAGTGTAACAATGTTGCTCTTTATTGGTTGAAAGGTTTGGATTTTATTTGAACCCTTTTCTCAGGTCTGTGTTGAAGAACCGTCCTGTTTCTTACTTTTCCTATCAGTCCGATTTGTTACTAGATTTGTGTTCCATTCCAGAAAACAATACCCAGTTGATTCAGATGTATTTGGGAGATGTTTAATCTGGATGTATGCAGCTTTACATCTTCTAACAAGCTGTTCTAAGTTGTCTGTAAAGTTGCCTTGCACTTTTATAGTTTGTCACTTTCCTTCTTCGGTTGTTAGTTTTAATGGGTGCAAGTATATATTTTATGTGGTTTCCTGTAGAGATTTTTATAGGTTTCTTTGCATGTTAAGGTTTTAAAAGTACTATAAATGCTAAAGATTTTCTCACAGAAATTATGGTTTGTGGAATGATTGAAACAATCTGACACATGAAATGAGTGAGAACTTTAAACTTTTATTTGGACACTTCTGTATCTGTCTTTGTCCTGTGAAGCACCGTTCATGTTTTTAAAAGTTTAGGTTGCTTACTAATAAAGAAACTAAAAGAATATGATAATTTTGGGTAACCGTCACATTATAAGTACCGTAATTGCCGGTCTATAGAGCGCACCTGACTGTAAACTGCTCCATACTAAATAAAAAAACAAAACACTATTTTGTACATAAATAAGCCGTGCTTGTGTACAAGCCGTGTGTGTTCACGTTGTAACATGTGTGGAAGCACACAGCTACTGAGAGTAATGCACAGCTCTTGTTGTAGGTGAAGAATCAGCCACCAGATGACGTTTCATGGACTTTAGTTTGCTTTCACACACAGTGAATCACACATCTCGTCGTGCCAACTTACTCTCTCACTCCTCATTCTACAGAATGATCAAACACAAATTAACACATAATGAACACAAACTAGGCTAAGAACACACTAGTAATCACTAAAAGAACAATGCTAAACAGCTAACTGAAATTATTTAAAATTTTACCCATAATCCCTCCCTGAGGCCATGTGACCAGCAGTCAATCACAATGAAGCAATGAGATAGTCTCATTGGGAAATGAGGACCCCTGCCCACCCAAGAGATACATGTATTGATGAAGGTTTAAAAAAAAATCCATCTAACCAATGAAATTACTGAACAGGTCACAACCGAACCAATGAAACACGGAGAGGGGATTCCCCCTCTCCCCGTGAGTCAAGTCAAATTTATTTATAAAGCTCCTCTCTCCACTTTGGTAACAGCGGCTGTTTTTAAATGTGCTTTATAAATAAATTTGACTTGATCCGACTCCTGCTCCCACTCAGTTCGCAGTGCCACTTTCCGGGGAGCAGATCGATTTCCTCCTTCGACAAACAGATCGATCGCTTTTAACTTCAAAGTTGCATCATATGAATTTCTGAGTGTTTTTCATGATCGCTGAACAGAGGAACTCAATCTGTGCATTAGGTGCAGAATAGTTAATCTAAAGGATTTAGTGCGAGTGAGTTAGAGTAGTAATGACGTATTTTTTTTATTTTTACCGTATTTTCCGCCATAAACTTTGCCTCGCCCTATAAATCATATCAGTCCAAATTTGTCTTAATAAAGTGGAAAAAATGCATAAATATGTCACTTCGCCATATACGTCACATCTTTCATGTGTCACTGCTGACAACCTGGAAATGTGGGCTGGTGTTGTGTCAAAAATCGATTAGCTGCCAAATGGTGGCCGCTGGGGCATCTACGCGAGGACTTTAACAAGAATTTAACAAGATTAACACTTAAAAACAATTATTTGTTTGCTCAAAATTATAGTAAAGGTGTGTCTCAGTCTAATAAATGCGCGTTGACTTTCAAATCGGCTGCATTTCAAAACCCGATTCACGGAAGCGGGCACGCCCAGAGGGATGAGCCGCTGTTCATTTCCTCAGAATTTAACAAGATAAACACCTAAAAACAATTATCTGTTTGCTCGACTTTATAGTAAAGGTGTGTCTCAGTCTAACGTTTGCTTATTAAAAGGACTTTAACGATCAAATCAGCTGTATTTTCAAAAGTATTCGATGCGTCTGTGCTCCCGGGAGCGAGCAGACAGGGAGGAAATCAATTTCTAGGAAATTTAACAAGAAAAGCACCTAAAACAATTATTTGTTTGCTCAAAATTATAGCAAATGTGTGTCTCAGTTGAACTTTTACTTAATAAATGCACTTTAATGGTCAAATTAGCTGCATTTCTCCGGGGCGGTGAAGTGAAATTAAGCTGGTTTGACGGTGGCTCCAAGCAGTGAACAGAACGAAGGTGGCAGTTATGGCAAGCCGATCGTGTGACTTTGTGACTCTCTGAGAGTACGATACCTCATTGGTTCATTGTGGTTGACTGCTGGTCACAGGGCCACAGAGAGGGATTATGGGTTAAAATATATTTTCAGTTTTAATTATTTTTGTTTGTTTTTAGTGATTAGTCTGTTTTTCTTAGCGTGCGTAGCTTGTGTTCATTATGTGTTAGTCCATGCAGTAGTGTACAGTAACTGAGTGAGATGGGTACTTGTCATCAATACCTGTGGTGTTCACTCTGTTTCACAAGAGAGGTGTGTGTTGGACAGCTCAATGCAAAATGTTTTTGGTGGTAGGAAGCTCATTAGCTCGTCAAAATAAAATTTAATTATTTATATATATATATATATATATATATATATATATATATATATATAAATTTTTAATCCATAAATTAGCCACAGCGTTGTATAAACCGCAGTGTTCAAAGTGTGGAAAAAGTAGCGGCTATACACCGGAAACTACGGTAACTTTTATCAACTTCTGTCTGAGTCAAATACTTTTAACTGCGTTTATTTTAGCAGCTCACATAAATAATTCTTTGATAAGGGCTCATTCAGATTATTCTTGTAATACTGTAGCTCCATCTATATTAATTACATTAATTAGGAGGGCCCCCATCATGTCAGCATATCTCATGACGCCGCAGTCATTCTTCCTCTCAGTCATGTGACCTATGTGAACCTGTGTGGCGCTCTCTTGGCTCTTTAGGCAGATGCTCAGTTTCAGCGGTCAACCTGCCCAAACACGTGGACTCTGTCATAAACAAGCGCCTCTCCAAGTCCTCCGCCACACTCTGGAACTCCCCCAGCAGAAGTAAGACATGTGGAGCTCCCCGCTCCTGTCTCAACGTGTCCATTATTCAGCCACCGCAAACGCCGCCGAGCCCCTCCCATCATTGTTTTGTGTTTTCCCCTGTCTGACTTCAGTCCCTCTCCTGAGTTTGGTGGTTGACGGATGACCCTTTTCCATCTTTCAAATCAAGTTTTTCTTTTTTTTTTTTATTCTCTCCAGACTTTGAGTTGGGGTTTTGTTCAGAAATGTCCTGCATGCACATTTTGACGGGCGTGTTCCTGCTTTCTTTTAATTGTTCCTTGGTTGTGGTGATGACCATTTCATTCCTTGTGTTTTTTGCAAAATCAAACTGTAGGAATGTCTTGAAGTGTTTTATTTAATTTATGACATGAAAATGTGACAAACTTTTCATCTTTGTAATGTTTTTAGATGTTTTTATTTGTTAAAACCCACAATAACCTGCAAATGGGGAGCAATTTTCCAGGAAAAAAGAAATTGAAGTTATTTTATGGCTAAATTCCAAAAACTTCCCAGAACACTAAAGTTCCTTTTTTTTTTTTTTTTTTCCTGAAAGACGGTTATTGTTGTTTTTCTCTTTCCACTTTGCCACAACACCACTGCACAATGCAAATTTTTCATTTAGCCTTTATTTATCCAGGTTAGTCTCATTGAGCCACGAGAACTCATTTTCAAGAGAGACCTGTTTAGGGAGCACATGGTGGGGGTTAAGGGCCTTGCTCATGGGCCCAGAGTGGGGCGAATGAGGGTGGGGGCAAGTGTGGGTGTTTCACCTACCCCACCCACAATTTTGATGTTGTCGGGGCCGGGGCGCGAACCGGCGATCTTCGGATCACAAGCCCACCTCTCTAACCTCTGCGCCACCACTCCCAAATATTAACTTTAGCATCCTCTTGTGACACCCCTCTGCATTCTGCTCAGCATCTCAGATGAGCTACCAATTTATGATACAACCCATATCACTGGGCAGTAACATAAAAAGGAGACTGGACACAATGTGGAGTAAATGAACAGTTTTATTAGTAAAGCTCTGTTTAAAAAATAAAAATAATTATACACCTTCACAGGCCTCAAATTGTACCACATCTTTGATGGCATACAAATTATTATAGGAAAAGTGGAAAGATTGCATTTCATGCACTTTCTGAAAGTGCTAGAAAATGTTAAAGATGTGATGCTTCCCCAAATTGAGTCGAGTTTACAGAGGACGCATGAGTTGTTTACTTTTCTTCTCCAGACTCCAAATTTAATTGTTGATGCAGATGTGGCTTCTTAGGACTTTTACTTTACCTTCAGTGATTTTTTTTTTATGTTTGGTGACGGTAGAGATCAAATCTGAAGCTCATCTGAAATTTAATTGGATATTTTGTCGTACCTGCAGCCCGCAGCCTTGCACTGAGCCCATGGGAGAGCAGCATAGTGGACCGGCTGATGACGCCCACACTGTCTTTTCTCGCCCGGAGCCGCAGCGCTGCCAGTGTCCTCAGCAACGGCAAAGGTGGCCGTAAGTTGAGAACGTTTAACCACGAGATTGACTAAACCATAGAGAAGCTCAACGTTTATAAGCTTGAATGAATCTCATCCACAGACTCTCTTCTCTGCCCTCGATCGGCTTCGGCTAGCCCCCTCACCCTGTGTGCCCATCAACCCCACCACCGCTGCTCTGACCACTGGAGGGTGACGTCCAGCACACCAGACATCACTCAGCGGCAGCACAGACGGAGCTCCACACCTGTACGCCTGCCAGAGCTTTAATGCTAAAAATGCAAACATGTAACACTTGGAGGGTCACACAGAACTAATAAATAAAAAAAAACATCTGCAATAGTTGTTAATTCTAGTGGCTAAATGAAAATTAAATCATCATTGTTTTCCTTTCCATCATCAAACATCACGTTCTGCAACCATAATCTGTTTTCCTGTTTTTTTGTTTTTTTTTTCATTTTTATTTAGATATAATATCTACTTAAGTATCACTGAATGCCAGTTTGGTTTGAAATGTTCCTTTTTCTCATCCAGATGGATAAAACCAAGAAAGAAAAGAAAGATAAAGAGCAGGAGAACGAGAAGGAGAAAAGTGCCATTAATAAAGAAAAGATGCTGAGGAAGAGACAGTCTCTGCCCAGTATGAGACACAGACCTGACCCAAGGTAAAACTTGTTTTTTATGAGTTTTCTCCCCTCTTCTGATTGCATACTTAATTTAAAAAACAAAAATATTTAATTATTCTAAGATTTACAAAATGGCAGCATGTTTCATACAGTAAAATTATGTCCAGCTATTTGATTAGAAAATATTTTATTCTTTATCACTAAAACCTATTTGTTCTGAACTAGTTGATCTTCAGGCAAACAAACAGATTTTACTGTGAAACCTTGAACCAAAATACTTTACTATTTTAACTTTGATTTGTGGCTCATTTCTGGTTAGTGAGTGGGTTTGAGTAAGTCCTGTTGCGTTGACCTTTCATTAATTGATTCCATTAGCTGCTTTAATTGAGTGATAGAAAATAAATTTAATGTTTAATCCACAGGCGCCACAATAATCGCATCTAAAAAGAACCCAATGAAATGTTTTTGGTGGGTCTAGTTCTTTTGGCACAACAAAAGCTTTGGCAAAATCCATAAAAGTTTTTTTAACAGCACACTGGTAATTCCTGCCAAGTGTTTCTGCTGCGGGATGCTGACTAACTGCATTTTAATGGATGCTTTTAGAGTGTGGTTTGCATGTTAAGCTAATATATCTGCTAAATTTTAACACTTATCTGGTCAGCTCAGTTTGAAGGCAGCAACGCTTCAGTTCCAGTTAATTTTATATTTTTATCTTTTTTTCCCCTTCCATCCAGTCCCAGTCCTTTATCAAGACGACGGCCGGCGTCTCCAGTCACACCAAAGGGCAGAACTGCCTCCCCCAGCCCCGCTGCCTCGCCCAAGCCCCCATCAACACGCGGGAGCCTCTCTACTCCTAAGGCCCGACCGAAGAGAGCCAGGACCCCTGCGAGGATAGACCCCCGAACTGCTTCCCCCGGCCCCATTGAGAGAGTGAAGGAGCCTCGTCGGCCCTCCACCCCCGAGGAAAGAAAGAGTGAGCGCTAAAAATTTAGACTGGATTAAAATTATTTATACTTTATTCTTAGCTTATCAGTTACAACAAGGTCATTGATTGTTTAAAGATGAGTGTAGAAGTTTATTTACTATTGCTAAGAAGTAAACGGTAATACATACGGACCCGGTTTTGGGGGGTAGTCTGGGAGGGTAGTTGCTGTGGTCATTATTATCATCATGCTGCTAACAAGACCTGCTAACGCTGCTAACAGAACCATGCTGCTCCTAGGACCATGCTGCTGTAGAGTTATTCTTTTTTACTTTTGGCATCTTGTGTTTTTATTTTTGTTGCATGTTTTGGCATTTCTTGTTTCTTTTTTTGTTTGTTTTTGTTTTTTTCTGGCAAGTCGAAACGGTTCTTCTCATCCTCAGCATTTCATTGCGTTGTTGACCTTGTGTTGATCTGCATATGAAAAATATCCTAACCTAACATCATAATTGTTAGTTGCAACACAGAAAAAACACTACTTGGATTTTTTTTTTATCATAATCCTACATGGTCAGTTTCCTGGTGGCTCAGTCTCTTGAGTAGAAACAAATTCATGTAATTAATGAAAACTGTCTGAGCTTCTGAAGTGTATTAATTTGAATGAGAAGCAAGCAAAGATTACCATCTGGCATGTCTTGAAGATAAAAAGAGCTCAGTTTGAGCTGCACAGAGAGAAATGTTTGGAAATGAAAATAAAGCATCTGGTTGAAAAGATAATTTGCATTGAACAGCACATATTTAATAATAAATACTTTTCCCTTGTAGGTTCTCCTGTGGTTCCTGCCATTGCAGTATCTTCTGCTGCTTCCACAGCCAGAACTGTTGCTGCTGCTTCCTCCCCACCTGAACCTGTTCCTTCGGCGCTGTCCGCTCGAGCTGCGTCACCTGCACCCTCTCCATCAGCCAAGCCCATGGCGGGCACCAACAACCCAGAGGAGGCCGCTCGCATCCTGGCAGAGAAGCGCCGCCAGGCCAGAGAGCAACGGGAGAGGGAGGAGCAGGAGCGCCGTGAACAGGAGGAGAAGGAGAGGTGAGTAGTGTAGAGTCAGAGGTCCGCACTTTTCTCATCTGCATACATGAAGTTCGGTCACGTTGATTTTCTGTGTTAAATAACAGTCAAACCTTTCAGCTATTATTTGTAAAATGCGCATTTGCAAAATATTTTTCCAGACAAATATATCTTTAAAACACAGTCACTATGAAAAGGACATAAAAAGGATACCAGAGTTTTTTTTATTTTTTTTATGATATTTGCATGTCTGAATGGGTTTCTACTTTTTGTTGTGTGTACAAATATTCTAATTTACGCCTCTGAAAATAGTGGGATTGCTTGTTGTTGGTATTTTGGTGTCAACAAGCGAGAGAAAAATGAAAACTGGTGCAAAAAATGTTTTGTCAGTAAAATAATTTCCATAATTCTGCATGTATTTAAAAAAAAAAAACACAACAAGACGTCGCTCTTCCGTTACTCTGATTCGGTGTAGGATTCAGAGAGAAGAGCGAATAGCAAGAGAAGCAGAGGAGAGGCAACGCAGGGAGGAGGAGGCAAGAGCCATGGCTGAGGAGCAGCGGAGGAGGGATGAAGAGCAGCGACTGCAGGAGGAGAAGGAGGCTCAGGAGAGAGCTAAAGCTGAGCAGGAGGAGAATCTTCGCCTGCAGAAGCAGGTAAAAAAACGAGTTTACAGACTGTTGTTCACAACAAACCTGAAAAAAAAAAGAACAATGAGGACGTCATTTATTAATTCAAGTCAAGCAGATAAGTTTATTTCCTGCAGGATCAATAAAGTTTTATTTCATATTTTCTGTGGGGCATAATGTGATCTGCTATGAGCCCTAATGCTTTAGCACCCCCTTATGGTCTTTTACAGAAGTTACATTTGTGGTTAAACATGATCCAGCAGAAAAATGTAACTGGTGTTTCCTTCTGAATTGTCCTCAGGAGATTATGGGAGTTAAAATAGATCTTTTTGGCTCATAGCTACAGGAAGAATATCCATTTTATGGCCATAAACGATAATGAAGAAGAGCAACCACACCCTTATTATGTTTAAAAAAAATGTTTGTTTTTTTTGGCTAAAACACTTTCCCCTTCGTTTGCCTGCGTTGAAACTGTGTTTGGATTCTTGCCCATTTCAGAAAGAAGAGGCCGATGCTAAAGCTAAGGAGGAGGCAGAAAAGCAACAGCTGGAAAGGGAGAAACACTTCCAGAAGGAGGAGCAGGAGAGACTGGAGAGGAAAAAGGTAGGACCACACATCTGTTCTACGCATCTTCCAGACAAGTACCAAAAAAAAAGAAAATGCACATATAGATAGACTTTTAAGTTCAAAAACAAATCTTAAGCAATGACTACATGTTGTAGTTCAGTAGTTACATTTTATTTCCAGAACATACGCAGCGTAAAGTATTTATGTGCATTTCCATTCCTTTTTATATCCAATAATTAGTTATATGGAGGGTTGTTAAATAAAAAGTTATACTATTACTAATTGTCAAACTAGGAGGTAAAATCAAGGGATCAAAGAGAGGATTCATTAAAAATAAGAAAAAGAAACTACAGTAGTCCCTCGCTACTTCGTGGTTTGACTTTTGCGGACTCGCTCTTTTGCGGTTTTTCAAAGTAAGATTGTACATGACAAAAAAAATAAAATAAAAAAGATTGTACACAACACACGATTGTCAACTTTAATATTACTCATGTGACTGGAACAATAGGATACAGTAAAATGTTAATGAAAAAACATACTTCAGACAGGAGCTGCCATTTTGTAGTTTTCTCTCAATAAGCCTACAGTGTATCGCCAGTCAAAAGGACTACATTATCCAGAAGCCAACAGTGCACTACCTGGAAGCCCCAACAGCGCTTCCAGGTCGCTTTCTGCTGAAATGAAGGGAAAGGTTTGAACCGATTAAAAAAAAATTTGGTCCTTATTCATTGTGACTTCGACGCTCAGTGAATGTAGAGGCCCAAATGGAGTTGACCAGGAAGTGGACCAGAACCGAAACTCCAGCCTCATCAATCAATCTGAGAGCTGCTTGCTGGCCCACGAGGCCTCTCGAGTGGGGAGCCATTGCTTGGAGGTCCAGTGTTTTCTCCGCAACGCACTGGGACATTTTTCATCTGGATTTGGACTCGATCGAGACCATTGTGTGGTGTTGTGCTGGCTATCCGAAGGTCCGGCTCTTTCTCAAAGTGTTTTGGTGCTCAAGGACTGCAGAGAGCCGATCAGAACAGGACCAAATTTTGCCGTATTAAGAGTTTAGAACATTACAAGAATGTGGGAAGGGTTTCTAAAGCCTTAAAATGTATATAAATACTAAAATAAATACAGCGTTCCTACTTCGTGGTTTTTCACTTATTGCGGGTTGTGGTGGAACAGAACCCCCACTATAAATGAGGAACTACTAAACAACCCGAAGGGTGAGAGGAAAATGGAAACGGTTCAACTATTGTCACAAATATGTGCTCCTACAAGAGCTTCAGTAACTCCCCTTTAAATAACTGAAAGCTACAAAATGTTTTAGAACAATTACTGACTTAAAGAAAGAGATGCCTCAGCTGCGTTGTGATGGCAAACAACCAGGAGTAAAATGATCAGTTACCGTATTTTTCACCGTACAAGTCACATCAGTCCAAAAAAATCTTATAAAGTGGAAAAAACATAAATAAGTTGCTTTGCCGTATAAGTTGGATCTATTATGTGTCACCGCTGACAATCCAGAAACGTGGGCGGGTGTTGTGCCAAAAATCGACTGGCTGCCAAATGTTGGCCGCGGGAGCGTGCATGGGAGGACTTTAACAAGAATTTAACAAACTAAACACTTTAAAACAATTATTTGTTTGCTTGACATTATAACAGAGGCGTGTCTCAGTTGAACTTTTCCTTAATAAATGTACTTTAATGGTCAAATCAGCTGCATTTCACCTGGGCAGCGCAGTGAAATCAAGCTGATTTGACGTTTGCTCCAAGAGTTCCAGAGTGAGCTAGAAGGTGGAACTAAGGCAAGCCAAGTGTCTCATTAATAGCCATTTTTGCCTATTAATGAGACACTTTGCTTGCCTTATTATCGAGCGCCCTCTATTGGCTGAAAATGGTAATGTTTAATATTTTCATGTCAGAATACATGAAATCGTCAGATCTCAGCCAAAAATTGGGTTATAAATATGGGGGAAATCGTATATTAATCGCTTGGGTGTATAAGTCGCAGGACTTTCAAATTTATGCAAAAAGTTGCAACTTATACGGCAAAAAATATGGTAACCTGTGAACGGTGCTTTTTTATTCCCAGCACTCTGCTACACAACAAAACCAGCCCTGAACAGAATCCATGAAACTGAGATGAGGGATGTTTTTGGCTCGTTGTAGATGGACTGTCTGCATACCATGATTTAATGAGCTGTAGTGTGTGTGTGCGTGCATGTGGCTATTTATAAATACTTTGATTGGCAGGCTAGCTGCTCCAGTTTCATCTGTGTGGATCTGTAAATCACACACACGTGGTTGTTCACATTCAGTCACAAACTTTGCCCACTACTTTTTAATTTAAGGGCACACTGATGATTGACGTGAGAACAACAGTTTATTTTGAGTTTCTTTGTCCGGTGTCCATGACTTGGTGATATTTTGTACTTTCATTTAAAATATGCTACATAATTTCCAGTCTTGGCACTGGTCATGATTTTACTGAAGAATCATTTCACTTGCAGAGATCTTATTCTTTAAAACAGTTGTTTTTTTCCTGTGTGTGATGTGCATAATTCTTTCACCACTGTTGGCTCAGACGTTTGCATGCCACCACAGTGTTTTTCCTCTCCCCATCTTCTCGCCATGTGGGAAAAGTTCGGCTCTTGCTGTGCCAGGCCTGGCTCAGCCAGCAAACACACAGGAATTATCCTGAGAGAACGCTATGTTTTCTACCACAAAGATTCCCTGCGTCGACACTTTGAGCAAACGGACTCCATAAAGCGCACAGGTGGTTTTGAAGTACCCCGAGGGGCGACACTGCAACCCATCAGACAAACAAAAACAAAAACAAACAAGAGTGGAAGCACGTTTTGCAGCTAAACTAGATACCAAAGTCATGAGTGTGCGAGCTGTGCACAAAATAACCTTGGATCTTAAAAATGCCTCTCTTTTATGAGTGGCAGCTGCAGTTCTGGTCTAGCTGAGTGCTCAAATGAAACTCGGGTACAACCTCCTTCCTCTGTCCTGCTGTTCACTATGTTTCAGCTGAAAAGTCTCATTTTTAGCAACACAAACCTCAGATTTCCCTCAAGAATAGTTTTAAATTAGAAGTTACAAAAAGAAATAAACTCCTTCTTGAAATGTGAAACTGCAGTTAATATCCAAACAGTTTGGCTCACTAATCCTGATGGCTCGAACAAAGTTCAACAAAACTATTTGTGAATCTCTAAAACTTTGACATCAGAGCCGTATAAATAAAACTGAAGCTTTATGTGTCCTCACTGGAAGCACAGCTGCTTTAAATCCTTTAAATATAGCTGCCCAACATCTCCGCACTAAAATAAATCCAAATAAAACAGATCTGTGACATTTTCACGATTTTATTTCCTTCCTTTTTTTTAGCGTCTGGAAGAGATCATGAAGAGGACACGCAAGACTGATGGAGGTGACAAGGTATGTGAGCTTTTTACACAGCACAACGTCCCGACCTGTCCTGCACGTGACTGAAATTATCGCCAATGTTTACAGAAAGAGATCAAGTCTTCTCCAGTTGCTGATGCTAACGAGAGCCAGGCGGAGAGCAGCAAAGGTAATTCATGTTTCTCACTGATCGTCCTGAGCTTTAACGTGCTGAGACCGTTAAATCCACTGACCTCTAGAGAAATAGCATTTCCTGTGAAAATGTAGTGGGAATGCTTATTGCTGAAGAACTTTCTTAGAAGCAGCTGAAATTAGCTAAAACATGCTGAAATGTAGCTGAAATGGAAGAACAAGCCTAAATTAGCAGAAGAAAGTAGAAAGATCATACATTTGCTGAAATAGTTTTAAATTAGCAGAAATTAACAAAAAAAAAAGAGGAAAGTAGCTAAAAAAATAGCTGAAATTGGCAAAGAAATGGCTGAAAGTAGCTGAAAGGCAGAAAGAAGCTTAAACAAGTTTAAAAAAAAGTGGAATTAGCTGGAAAAGCTAAAATTAGCCTAAAAACCGCTAAATAGCTGAAATAGCAAAAAAATAGCTGAAACTAGCATAATTATGCTGAAAGGAGCATAACAAGCTGAAATTAGCAGAAAGAATTAGGCTGAAAAGAGCAAAGATTACCATGAAAAATGTGAATTTATCTGAAAACAGCCAAAAATAGCTTAAAAATGCTACAAAGGTAGCTGAAAAGGTAGAACAAGCTTAAATTAGCAGAAGAAAGCAGAAAGAACGCATGTTTGCCTTGTTTGACAGAGAAACAAAAATAAGCACAAAAAGTGGAAATTATCTAGAAAAAATATAAACTTTGTTAAAATACAGCTGAAAAGTAGCTAAAAGCAGAAAGAAGCATAAATTACCAGAAGGAAGTGGAGAGAGCACATTTTTGCTGAATTAGGCAAAAAAAGAGTTGAAATTACTGCAAAAAATGTGGAATTAGCTGGAAAAGCTAAAAATTAGCATAAATTGGCTAAATAGTAGCTGAAATAGCAGAAAAAATTGAAAATTGCATAAATAAGTAGAAGGGAGCATAACAAGCTGAAATTAGCAGAAGGAAGTTAAAAGAAGCACAAAACTGTTGTAGTTAGCAGAAAGAATGTAAAGGGAGCACAGAACAGCTGAATAAACAGCTAAAATTAACTGAAAGTATCTGGAAAAAAGTTTAAATTTGCACAAGAAAGCTGAAAGAAGCTGAACCAGTACAAAATGTGAAAGGAACAGTAAAAGGTTATAAACAGATCTAAAGATTCGAAGGATGTAAAATGAGCTCCTTTCATTTTTTTGAGGAAAAAAGTGGCAGAAAAGGCTAAATATTTCAAAAAGCTAAAGTTGCACCAATACCAAAAGTCACAGCACCCTTCTCCTGAATGAGCTGAACGTTTTGATGTATGATTCGTTGAAATAGCTTGGAAACTGCGGAACGAGAGAGATGCTGAAAAACGTACAGAAGAAAAATGGATCAGTCGTGTGAATGCTGCAGAAACATTCACACAATTAGTGCGACTCTGAATGGGATTGAAAAGCAGGAGGATGTTTTTTCTTTTCTTGATTTTTGCTTTTGACTAAGTCGCAAAAGCTTCACAGTGAGAGCATCTCTTCTTATTCTAGAAGCCCTGAATCCATTCATGCTGATATTTGATGTTTTACGTCCTCTGTGTGTGACGGTAGGCCATGGCTCCTGTGTTTATTGTAACCTTCCCTCTCTCTTCTCGTGTGAGTCGGACGCTCCGTGAAGCTTGCTGTAGAAAAAGGTTATTAGATTATATCTCTGCTTCATATTCCGTCCAGCTGGAGTTCTTCTCATGACAATAGAGGACCCGTGTGGGCTTACAGATACTTGTGGAATCCTCAGGACTGAAAGATGGGAGAGGATAAATGGGTTAACAGCAGCAAATACACGTAATGAAACAAAGAAACACGAGACCCTACTCATCCATCCTTTTATGCTATAATTTTTTCTCTGATGTATGTTATTTAGAAGCTTCATTAGCAATAATTGCTGGGTATGATGTGTGGTCTCAAAGGAATCCAGTTTGTTTTAAAGTTCTCCAACGCACAAAGACATTAGCCTGGAGTTGATGTGGTCGGACGCCTGGCAAACACGAGTTCATTTCAGCGAGGGGTGTGGAGATCCGTCTGAAAACCACAGCCATGTCCTCAGCAGAGCCCAGCGAGTAGGTGGTCCGAACTCCACAGGAAAGATGTCTGAAGGAAACTATAACTTTCCTACCAATTGAATGGGACTATTATTTATTAATGTTGCTAAATCAGACACCATGAAGTTCCAGATAAATATACGTAAAGAAAGTCCTCACTGAGCAGTCCGAGTAGTATCGTATTAAAACTGATTGTATCTGCACATATTACGGTTCACAGTTATGTCACTTAAATTATAAAAGTTAAACATTTATGGTTTGGACAGTAAGAAACAAAGATTTTAGGGCTTGCATCATGGTGTTTTGTAATTATGCATTTATTAAAGGACTGACTGAGAAATGTTGAGCAAAAGTTTTAGTTTTTAATATTTTGTTGAAAAAAAAAAAGTGGCTATTAATGAGACACTTGGCTTGCCATACCACGCCACCTTTGTTTCTCTCCAGAATTCCTGGAACAGCCGTCAAATCAGCTGCATTTCACCACGCCGCTCAGGCGAAATGCAGCTGATTTGACCATTAAAGTGCATTTATTAAGGAAAAGTTGAACTGAGACACACCTTTACTATAATGTCAAGCAAACAAATAATTGTTTTTAAGTATTAATCTTGTTAAATTCTTGTTAAAGTCCTCCAGTGCACGCTCCCGCAGTCGCCTTTTTGGCACAGCACCAGCGACGCATAACAAACGCGACGCGTCGGCGGTGACTAGCCCTGTCACGATAACAAATTTTGCTGGACAATCAATTGTCTCAGAAATTATTGCAATAAACAATAATATTGTTTGAAATATGACAATAATTAGTAATTATTGTCAAATTTAAGAAGAATAGTTTTCCATCTTAGTTTAGTTTATTATTTTTTGAATATGTAAAAAGAAAAAAAAATATATATAGCATGAAGCATAATGTCAAAACTTTTTGTTTTACATATTCAAGGGAGTGGGTAGAAGTATAAACTTATCAAAATTCCCACTCCTTAACCGCTTACATAACCTTACATTCATTACATGTATAATTCATAAATATAACGACTAATCCCATATTTATCCATTTAAGTTAACTATAGTAGATGAACAATTATTATTCCTTTTAACTTCACCAAAAACAAAAGCATCAATAACAAATAACAAAAAAAAAACAACAATAATAAATGAATAATATTACTATATATTATATCCAGCAATAATCATATGTTTATATGATAATTTGAACAGTTTTATGTTTGGACATTGTTTAAGTTCAATATTCAAATTATTCCACAGTTTGACTCTACTTACTGATACACAAAAGTTTTTTCTAGTAGTTCTAATTTTGCATATTTTAAACTGTGATTCCCCCTTAACGTATAAATTTGCTTCTTAATTTTAAACAGGTTTTGAATGTTTTCTGGTAATTGTTTATTTTTTGCTTTGTAAAGAATTAGAGCTGTCTGTAGTTTCACTGTCAATGAACTTTAATAGTTTCGATTTTACAAATAGTATATTAGTGCTTTCTAAATATCCCACCTTATGGATTACTCTTATTGCTCTTTTTTGTAGTATTGTTAATGCCTGTAGTGTCGTTTTGTAATTATTGCCCCAGATTTCTGCACAATAGCTTAAATAAGGTATGATTAGTGAAAAGTAGAGTACATGTAATGCTTTTTTGTTCTATGACCAACTTAATTTATTTTGCGTGTAGTACCTTTTTTTGACCACCATAAGATTGAACCGAAGGATGGATAGTGAGGGAGCAAGCAGAATGTCTCTTTAAGAAAAAGGGAGGGAGGCGCTTTGGAGCTTTGACAAAAGGGTTTTTCCATGAGGTTAGCCTGTTAGCTTAGCTCGTAGCTTAGCTTCTCAGCTTAGCCACTTTTAACGATCCAAAAACATGATTTTGGACGGTTAAAACGGATTTTAAAGAGAAAGGGGGGGGGGGGGGGGTGTCGGCAAAGAGCACCGGAGTTGAGCCGTGTTGTCTTTAGTAGAAAGAGAGAGACACGGAAAAACGAAAAAGCAGATGAATGAAAATGAGGTCGATAATTTTCATTCATCATGCGATTAAATGATTTATTATTTATTGCAACAGACCTAGCGGTGACACATAATAGATGCAACTTATACGGCGAAGCCACTTATTTATATTTTTTCCACTTTATTAGTCACATTTGGACTGATGCGACTTATACGGCGGAAAGTACGGTACAAAAAGTGATTTTCAAACAGCTCTAGGCTCAAACCGTTTCATTTAGTTGCAGATGGATTTTCTACAATTAGCTAAATTATCTGATATTTACTATTATTGTGGACATGTTTTCACAAAGCTGAGGTGGAGACGATCTTTAAAAGGTCTGAACAACTTTTATATTCTAGCCAGTGGATGAAAGGAGAGCAGCATAAAACTGCTGAAGGAAGTATTTATTTTCTCTCTTAAAACACAAAGCTGTAAAAATCTAAACATCTTTACTGCCGTCTGTCGTTCTGTGGTAAGAAATGACGGGATGTTTATTACACACTGGACTGTTTACTTTTTTCCAGTGTCTGCCGACTACCAGCTCAAATCAGAGGTCAACCTGCCGAACAAGACTGAAAATGGACAAGCGGACATCAGTGAACGGTAAAAATCACTTTTTTTCTAATCGCACATTCCTGCTAAACCACAGAAAACTGTAAAACTTGTGCGGCAGGAAACAGAACTGGCAGTCGACTAAGTTTTGTGTTTGTGTGAACCTCGGTGGAAAACAAGAGCCACAGGGATCAGGGCCACAGTAAAACACATGAGACAATGATTTGCTTTAATTTTTGTTTTTGAACACACTTCCAGGCGTAGAGTTTAAACTCCGTTAATTGGACGGCAGTGGAGTGACTCACCCGGTTCTGTGAGTCACTCTGACAAATCAGAACCATAACCATGTTTTCTGCTGTTTCCTCATCAACTAGCCTCCCAGCTGTAAACGGAGTCCAGCCCACGAGACATGAAAATGGTCTGTCCACTAAAGGAGACCACCTCGAGGACTTCGTCCACCTCACGAATCAGGGCAACGCCACCAACGGAGCCCGGGACAATTCTGAGAGCACCAAGCCCATCCTCGCTTTTGAGAACGAGGAGTCGTTTCTGAAAAAAGCGGGTCCCATGAAGCCTCAGCATGTTGCAGGTACACCAGGGTTTCTAACCACCGCACTTCCAGGCACAGAGAGGTCCAAACCCTGCGATGCACAGATAACTGGGTTGAGCTTTGGAGAGTTCTTTGTAACAAAACATTAAAATGTTAGTACAAATATATGAAGCGTTAGTCAGCAGATTGTACTTCAGTATAGTTATCTTTACCTGTTTATACATTTATCTTGCAGGAAAACCAGAATTTGTTTTTATTTCTGGTACTGACTCAATTATTTTTCTTTTAGAGGCCACACTTTACTTAGCCAGGACCTAGCTGCACAATTACATGCATAGCACAATGGCTTAGTGGTTAACACAGTTGCCTCACAGCAAGAAGGACTTGGGTTTGATCCCCAGGTTGGGTCTCGGGTCTTTCTGTGTGGAGTTTGCAGGTTCTCCTCGGGTTTGTTTTTCGTTCTTTCATCCTTTATTTATACAGGTTAGTTTCACTGAGTCGCCAGGACTCGTTTACAAGAGAGACCTGTTTTAGACAATAACAACAAAAATAAAAGTAGTGTTCTAAAACAATAAGATCAAGGAGCCTCATAAAACAAGGTAAAATACTAAAAACAAGAACATATTTGCTTCGATTATTTTTAGTATTTTACCTCGTTTTAGAACACTACTTAGGGCGGCTGTGGCTGAGTGGTTAGAGCAGTCGTCCACCAGTGCAAGAGTTGGGGGTTTGATTCCACCAACAGCCACATGCTGAAGTGTCCCTGGGCAAGACACTGAACCCCTCATTGCCTCCGATGTATGTCCCATCAGTGTATGAATATGATAAAGCTCTGATTATTCTTTTTATAGACCTAGTAGAGTGCTGTATGATGGGTAAATGAGGACACAGATGGTACGGTAGTGTAAAGTGCTTTGAGTATCTTGATAAGATAGAATGGTGCTATGCAAATCATTTGCCATTTACTTTTATTTTAATTACATTTTAATGTTGTGTGGGTTTTCTCTGGTGTCGTTCCCCAGTCTAAAAGCATGCATCTTAGGCTGCCTTCAGGTCCAGATCTGATCTGAATGGGACTGGCCTGGTTAAATAAAGGTTAATAAATCATTTTTAAAAAATAGACCCATTTGTTAAGTTGCAACCTACCATTAAGGTTCAATAATTGTGAGTTGAAGTGGGGTTTGTAAAGTTGAGGAAAAAGGCACCTTTAGAATAGAAAAACTGTAGGTTGACAAGTGTCTAATAATTATTTTTGTAGTTCTATAGGTTCTGAATTAGAAACTTAATTTATACCTTTTGGATACCAAAGTGCTCTTTTATACAAAAATCATCTAAGACCTATTATTATCTTTAGCTGCTTATTCTGAATTAATCATTTTACAACTAGAACACCAGTAATTATATATTTAGAATTTTGATCACAATAATGCTTATTACCAGTGGTTATATTAGCTTTTATTCAACACTGACAATTCTTCTTAACCAGTTATTTAGTTGACCCAGATTTAGCACACTACTACTGAAACTGAGCCAAGTAAAAGGTCATTGCTTAGCTTGATGCAGCTACAACTCAGATTTAAATTATTTTAATGCATTTTAATGGAACAGAGTCATTTAGAAATCGTACTATTCAGGCCCAAATCTTTTTTTTTTCCTTTCATATAGGCCTATATATTTTATATTTATTAATAACAGTCTGAACATCTTAAATCAGACCCAGGTCACTTGCATGCGACACTAAATCAGCTACATATCTTGTTTTTCAAGGGATCTCATCTGAATTTTGTGCAGTTGAAGTAGGGATATGCAGATTGATCCATTTAAAAAAAAAAGTTATGAATACTAGCGTAAAGGGTACGATACTTTAATCTTATCTACTTTCACTTTATCACTCTTGCAACATTTTAAAACCATCCACATTCCCAAGCTACAGATTTGTAACATAACTGAATGTAAATGAAGTCTCCACCGATGACCCGTGGCTACATCTGCAAATACTTTCTGAGAGAACGAGAAGAAGAAACAAAGCATGCTTTGTCTTGAGGCAGATGCGAGTCGTCCTTTCCGTGAAGCGATTATGAACTTGAGCTTGTACTCGATCAAGTGCGCAGGTCATCACCTCTGTAAAAGTGAGAGCCCCTCTGAGGGCAGGAAGGTGTGGCACAGAGAGTTCACTTGCACTAAAAAAAGGGTGAAGGTGGGATATGGAAGCAATACTGTAGGAAAGGTCGAAAAGAAGCTGGGTATCTCTCTACCGTTGACAGCTTTATTCACCAGCTCCACTGACTCGGGCTCAGACCCAGTGAGGAATTCCAGAGGCGACGAGGAGCCTCTATCCACAAACGCTCCACTGCCAGGGCTGAGAAACGGGACCCGAAAGCAAACGAGTACTATGCAGCGCCGCACTCGTCTCCGTCACGGCAACGTCAGCAGCGCCTCGCTCTCGCCACGCTTTTAACTTTCACCTGTTGCTCTGAAGACAAGCGAGCGATCCTAAACACCGTCGTAAAAAAGGAACACGGGTTTCTTTGTTAGCACTTGACAGCAAACTGATCCCAGTTCACTTCTTTCCGTAAACCCGGTCATAAAACACAAAGATTCCTGCATCTCGTCTTCTCTCGTAAATCTGGAGATGTAAGATGAACAACCTGACAGAATCTGCGCATGACGTCAGCTCCGGCATAAATCCATAGTTTATTTGGATGCCTGTAAATGAAAAGATCTCAAGTTAAAGAATTTCTAGTTGCTACATTTAATTATAACATTTTCTGTCTTATTGCCTTTTGATTACCGTAGGTCTCTGCAAAGATTTGTGGATTTTTTACCACATGTGACACGTTTGGCATGCTTTCAGTATCGTCACCAAGTCAAAGGTTTCCCCACTGTGGTATTACTCAGTTCAACGTCACGCATCCTTTTTTGGTTACGAACCGATCTCCGTTTCAGCTGTTGCTTCATGTTAATAAATCTTCTAGAGCGGCTGCTCCTTCTGACCTTTAACCCTTCTTTTTTTGGTCTTTTTACAGAAGTCCTGTGACATACTTTGGAGTAGAGGACGTGGTCACTTTAGAAGTTTCCCAGACCTGCCAATGCTCACGTGGCGAGTCCGGTGACCTGTGCCAATCGACTACCTGCAGCTATGCTCCTACATGTAAACACGCCCCTCTCGAGACGATGTGGTCCACAGAAGATCTGGACACAAATGACAGACAGGATGAGATGTGTTGCTACGTACGACACAGGTGTTCTCATTTGTAAAATGTTTGTGGCACGAATCATCCTTACCAGACAGCACAGCTGACTACGTGACGCTGACATGTTTTGTTTTTAGTTATTTAACTGAAAGAGAAATGGAAAAGGCTGGCTACATCTTTGTGAATATTGTAAATGAACTTAAGGTGTCAGATAAAGAAGGAACCAGTCGACAAAAGGGAGTCGTTTTATGCTACTACGCCACGAGAAGACACTAAATTAAAAAAAAAAATCCTGGTTTGTATAAAGCTGCCTGTATTGAGTTTTTGTAAAGTTAGGAAAGTTTCAAGTTGACAAGGAAAGACTTTTACTGTGTAAACATTCTGTTTATAACTTTTTCAGCTATGATTGATTGTACGCAAAACGTGGATGTACTAACAAGTTGGCCACCTTGACAACAGTAAAACATGAAATCTATTGTCCCCCCTCACCCCAACACATGTACAAGCATGACTCAATTTTCTAATTTGCAGTGCAATCCCATGGACTTGTAGATGTTTAAAATGCTGTTGTGTTTGTTTGCTATAAATATATTTTGGTGTGTGTTAGAACATCACTCGGAGGATCCAATCTGGAAAGTCTTAATAAACACGAACAATTCAGTCTGAAGTCTCATTCCTTTGATTGTGGTGCATTCAGGGGCTATTTGTGATCAAGGAAAAATATGTGAAATGGTCTTAAATTTGGAAAAAAGTTTAGTAGTTTGTTTAGAGATGTTAAAGAAGACGTACGCTTGCTGAAAGAAAGAAAGAAAGAAAGTGTTGCATTCAACGGCATGTGGGTTTTCTCAGCTGTCCATTTCAGTTCGGGTCTCCTTTTACAAAATCTCCACAGGGTGTACATGCCACTGTGACTGCAGCCACCCCCACCTCTCTCTCTCTTACTTTATTTTTGTGGCCCCTGGCAAGCCTGGCACACAGTTTCCAGCCCACTAGGCAGCTGAAGACACGATTTATGTTCCCCTTCAACCAAACGTGAAGACACCCCGCACTGATAATCATGTAGAACTCGCGTGATTTAAATGTCTTCAAGCTGCTGTGAAATGTCAGTATAGAGGCAAATAAAGGACTATAGCTTGTTCACAGTTTGTCATGGGAAGACGGTGTCTTGGCTCCTAACGGGCGCAATAGGAAACTAAAAGCAATATACATCGATATGAGCACTAAAGAAAGATAGTTCAAGGTCTGCCAAGATTTAAATAAACTTTTGATGCGACCGATTATTCAAAACAACCCTTGCCATCCTTGCATCTAAGCATTTTGTTGTTTTAAATTTGTTTTCTAATTTAAAATGAAGTTTTGAAATGTGTTAAATGATGCATTCAAAAAAATTGACCAGCACCTCACTGAAAAAATAGAAAATTCTTGAGCTAAACAACAAGTTCCGACATGTGGAGTTCCACAGGAGTGTGATGTAGGAAGCTGTATGTATTCGCCCCACCAGAGGGTGTTGCACTGCACCAATACAGGCCATCAGAACTTTCTGGAATGATGCTTTGCAGATCTTTACAACCACAGGCCGCTTAGAGAAAGCACTGTTCCTGCAGTCGTGCAGCCAGTCAATCCCCAGTAATGTCCAGTACTTCTCAGAGGGGACTTGAGGATTAGCGGGGACTATTTTTAGGGAGGTGTTTCAGGGCAGTGCACAATTACAAACCGGACAGGGCTAGATTTTAAAATAGGTTCCCACAAAAAAGAGGTGGGGGGGAAAAAAATGGGGATCAGAAAGGTGAGCCAAATGACACAAATGGTAAACGAATACGAGATCCTTTCTGCTGGATAGAGTTACAGGTGCTCCGATTCTCTGGGTCTAGCTGAATCACCTGGTATGCGGAGCTCCCCCTTTCAACACCGCCTCACTATGCTCATGCAGTTTGATTGATGTGTGTATTATCTCCTCAGCATGAGAGCGAGTTGAGAAGGTGTTACAATTGGGTCTCTACTCTTGCTCTCCTGCACGCAGGGTCAAGATCTTCCTGTCGAGGTTCAGATCGATTAACAGAAAGGAAACGATCACATGTGAGGACTTTATGAGCGCATTATCAAACGGAGCGTCTCTACCGAGAGCCCACTTCAGGAACGCACTCATTTGTTTTACCCATAAATCTTTGCGCTTGATGACTGGAAGGAATCTTGCAAATATTTCAGAATGGCAACTGGGTCTCTGGCTCCATTCAAGACCAGATAACGGGTAAAGAGCTACGATGGGGTTAAACCACAGTGTCCCACTCCAGATAAGACCACCACTCCTGCTGCAGTCAGCCATCAAAGCCCAACAGCTCAACCTCTGTTTAGTGTTGATGCTCACCCGTCTTTATCTACTCAGCAACAGGCTCTCGTCACAGCTGCTCTCAGGTTGCAGTTGGTTAATGAAAGGCCACAGAATGGCCGACACTTGCAGCAATCCTGCTGCTCTATCCCTGACAACTGAGCAGAGCAAGCTCTCTGCTATTGTGAGAAGGGACACCGCTCAAGAATGACAGGGCAGTACACAACACTCATGGCCTTGGTGACACAAAACTGCTCTTTGGGTTGCAGAAGAAAACCCAAGGTCTTACATCTTAACGGGGTTGGTCTTGTTCTATAACAGCTGCTGGATTATTCTTACCTTCTATTTATTGTACGTGGAAGCTCTGATGGAGTTGTTCTTTGGTGTCTGATGTTTCATTAAACCTCAACTATTTTAGGAGTCTGACCTTATACTCTTATTATTGTGAACTGAGGACAGACGAACATAAGCCCACTGAGATTCTAAAAGAGCATTTCTGAGCATACATGATTGGACATTCATCTGCAACTGATTCACGATGTCTGCCACAGCTAACCCACCTCGGCAAACTCAAAAAACGTCTAGAACACAGTCAGTTTTAGTGTGATAACAGCTGAGAGCCTCTCCCAACGCATATTCCGGCCTGTCTCCAGACTCCCATTCACCTCTAAACTACTGGAAAAAATTGTGGAGTCTCAGTTGAAACAGTTTTTGGGGGATCACTCTATCCTTGAGTTATTCCAATCTGGCTTCAAATCTCTCCATAGCACTGAAACTGCTCTACTGAAGGTTTTTAATGACATTTTCATATCCACAGACGCAGATGATTCTGTGCTGCTTGTCCTATTGGACCTTACATCTGCTTTTGACACCATCGACCACAACATCCTCATTTCTAGACTGGAGCAGTGGGTGGGCATCACAGGGTCAGCCCTTAAATGGTTTGGGTCCTACCTCTCTGACAGAACCTTCTGTGTCAATATCAAAGATTTTAGTTCGGCATCGACAGCGCTCCAGTGGGGGGTACCGCAGGGGTCCATCCTCGGTCCCCTTCTCTTTTCTTTATACCTGCTGCCACTAGGTGCTATCTTCCGCAAACACGACATACCCTTTCATTTCTATGCCGATGATTGCCAAATTTACTTCCCCCTGAGGCACACGCTCTATTCAGCCTCTTCTTGACTGCCTGGCTGACATCCGGGACTGGATGGCTTTAAACTTCTTAAGCTTCAATGAGAAGAAGTCTGAAGTCATGCTGTTCCATCCCAGTGGCTCACTCATGAACCATGACATTGACCTTTTCTCTCTAGCCCCGCTAGAGAAACAAAAGGTCACTAATCTGGGGGTGATAATGGACCCGTCCTTAAAACTCAACAGTCACGTAAACATGATGGTCAAATCCTGTTTTTTTCAGCTGAGACAGCTGTCTAAGCTGAAGCCTATACTCTCCAAAAAGAACCTTGAGACAGTGATCCACGCCTTCATAACATCTAGGCTTGATTACTGCAATTCACTTCTGTTTGGAATCAGTCAGTCCTCCATTGCTCGTCTACAACTGGTCCAAAATGCTGCAGCCCGATTTTTAACTGGTACAGGCTATAGAGAGCACATCACGCCAGTTTTGGCCTCCCTGCACTGGCTACCCGTTCACCTTCGGATCCATTTCAAAATTCTCATGTATGTTTTTAAATCACTGAACAGTTCCGCCCCATCCTATCTCACTGATCTTCTGCAGCCATATGTCCCACCGTGCTCTCTGAGGTCAGCAGACCAGATGCTTCTCTCAGTCCCAGAAACCCGTCGTAAGCTCAGAGGTGACAGGGCTTTCTCTGTTGCAGGTCCACGACTGTGGAATGAGTTGCCACTGAGTGTCCGGCATGCTCCCACACTCTCAGTCTTTAAGTCTCGCTTGAAGACCCACTTCTATTCGCTTGCCTTTAACACGGTGTGATTTGTTTTGGTCCGGTCTGTTCTCTACTCTGTTGGCCATTTTAGTTAGCTTCTGCTGCTATTTGTATCTGTATTTCTATTTTATGTTTTCCTGTCTGCTGTGCATGTTTGGTTCTTTTGTACAGCACTTTGGTTGGCCTTGTTGCTGTTTTAAGTGCTATATAAATAAATTGGTATGGTATGGTATATTCAAGTTCAAGTCAACTTAATTGTCATTTCCACCACATGCGAGACATGAGGTGGAACAAAATTATGTCCTCAGGGTCCCAGTTACACCCAAAAATAGCTAAATATAAAGTATAAAAAGAAAAAGTAAATAAGGATCTAAGATATACAATAAACAAATGCAAATGGTACGCTAAAAGATCTCAAATTTACACTAAATACTAATAACGTAAAACAATACGGCGTAAAAACAGCAGCCCGAACATGAGTCTGTGGTGAGTAGATCGGTATGAATGAATAGCAGCATAGATAATCAGCAGTGTGGATCATCAGCAGTACAGATAAGTCGCATGCACCGGTTAAAGTGGCATTACAGTGATTTTAAAAAAATATATATTATTTTAAATTTGCAGTGCTGTTGCAAGCCATCAATCTTTGTTTAAAACTTTGTCATACGAGATGACTGCTAATGCTAACTGACGTTACAAAACCCCAAAAATGACAACACTTAACCACTTTTACAGATATGCTATCACTTAGGTCATAGTAGCTAAGATTCATTAACACATACAGTCCTTTGGGTGCTTATGGTTCATGTAAATTGTTTGTTTAAAACTTTGGGAAAGTTTGGCCTTTTATTTTTTTGAATGAACTGGTAACTTAAAATACAACACGTTTGAGTCTTATGTTATATACTACACTAACTACGCATTTTCTATTAAAATCTTTGTCTTTGGGTCAATAGGAAAGTATTAAAACAACAGAAACAAGACAAAACTTCTGTTGAACAAAAAGGAAAAAAAGTACTGTATCAGTTATTGATGCTGGCTAAAAATGTTAGCTAACCGTGTTAGCTCAGCGCCAAACAAGCGACAAAACTTGAGATGTGAAATCATGAACAATCAGAACAGCTCTTTTCACGGAACAATAGTAATCAAATTCCATCCATTTGAAAGCTATTTTTTAAAAAATCTTTTAAATGGTCATAATTTGTTCTTCAATATAAAGCTACCATATTTTTCGGACTATAAGGCGCATTAAGCGAAACCAAACAGATAAGTCAAACTTTATTCAATTCATATACAACAGCCACATAAAATCGGTTCGAGGTCAGTAAGCACAACCAGAATTAATGCATACGTAAGGCTCACTGTTGATTTTTGAGAAAATTAAAGGATTTTAAGTGCACCTTACAGTCCAAAAA